CTATGTTTGGTTATTTATCTGTTAAAATAGTGCAATAATAATATCTAAGAAAGTAATACCATTACAAGACGTATTGTAATGAAACCTAAGGTCTAAATCATATTTTAAATATTAAATCGACATGAATTTTCTTAACAATCTAACCACTAAACATAGTCTGTACGATATTACTTAAGATGTACGTTATTGTTTAAGACTGAAAATGTTTTAAATGTTAAATGTAAAACTATAACTTAAATCTACACTTAGCTGTTCTTTATGTAATCTTGCTTCAAACAGTAACAGCGTGAGGTGGTCTCGCATCTCTGTACTCGGCCATCCAATACAACAAAAGGGGCCAGAGTGAGGACACCATGAATTGATACAGCCGTAACTACTAACTGTCCTTTCTTCCATGTAACATTCTGGAGGATAAAAGCAAAAGAACACCAATGTGCCAGCAAAATACAAATACGAGTTAAGGTGGGTCAATCCAAAACTCTACCCTAAAAATATTCAATAATAATAACGAATCTAATAAAGATAATATCTCATCTTCACCTGTTGCTTCGAAATGGCAGCTGATTAAGATTTTGCAGCAAGATTTAAATTATTACCATTTCTAAAAGACGGGTGAACAAAAGTGAGGTTAAGCGCGGAGAGCGACCTAACCTTGGAGCGATATTGACAGCGCCTCCACAGAGCAGTGAAACGATAACAGGGTTGGCGACTAGGGAACGTAAAAATTACGCCAAGCGTGCCAAATAAATTATCAGGCCTGAACGATACGGAATCCGATGACGATACGCCAGACATCATATAAATCATATATAAAAAATACATATAACGAACTAAAAACGTTACAATCTAACTACAATAATTTAAATATTGAATATTTTTAGTCCATGAAGTAGGATACTTCTGTTTAATATTATTTAGATTTAATAAAACTATGTGGTACTTTTAAAACACAAATAAACTAACCAAAAAAATATATAAAAAAAATTCTTCTAAAGAGCAGCTTTCATTAGCTTTTCCAGCAAAGCAGACTCTTCAAGAACATTTTACGACTAAATATAGTGAATAATAATCTTTGGGACGTCTTAAATTCCTCAATGTTCTCGGAAGAGAACGAACTACCGCAAAAGTTTTACGCGTATGGCAGTTTTATTCATTGTACCGACTCTGAACGAGCCGCTGAAAAGCGAAACTCTTTGTTCGGGCCACGATCCTGATGACGAAGAACAAAAATTCCCCGACAATTCCGAAACGATGAAAGCGGAAATACCGCCCTCAAATAGAAAGCGTTTTAAGTTTCCAGTCGTGATGAGAGTTCAGTTTTAAGCAGATAACTGAGTTTGGGAGTTTTAATATTGTTTTAGTGTGATATTTTGTAAGAAAGGGTGATTTATATTTCTGAAATAGAAATTTTCAGTTTTAAGCTTATTGAAAGAAAACTGTTATGATTTTAAAATAATTTTCAACTTTCCGTTTAGTCTAGTAAATGAAGGTTGCTTACTTACTTCTGGTATAACTACGGGAAATCGGGGTAGATGAGAACTACAGGGTGTCCCATTTTAGTTGAAATCATACGGTATCTACGTTATTCGTGTAGATAGAAGGGTGCTATTTGCACAAACTTGTGCCACTCTTTTGTCAAACAAAAGATGCCGTAAACAAAATTTTCATAGACCTCTTCGTTTCTGAACTACAGGGTCTTTTTGAAAATGTTGCAATTTGAGATACTCCCTGTATCTCTGTTATCGTTAAAGGTATCGGGAAAGTGAAAACTGTTTATTGTAGAACTTTTTACGTAGAATATAGTGGCGTAGTCTGTTATTCCACGAAAAAAATATTTTTAAAGATATAAATTAAAGTTGTGTTTTCTTAAATAGAACGCCCGGTATATTTATAAATTATTTGATCTGGCTTGCCATAAGCTTCTCAAAAATATATATCATTCTATATTTTTTCAGTATTTAGTGCAATATTAAAAAAATTCACAGATTTTGCAACATGCGCAACCATCATAGGCGTATTGAAAATACCAGACACAAGTCGGCGGTTGTCGACAATCACCTGTTTTTTACATTTTATATTAACTTGTGGCGTCATTTGGAAGAGCTCAATAGAAATATAAAAGAACTAAACCTTGTTCGTTGGAAAGCAATTTGACATTCATGACGTCAGCACTCCGACAGTCTAACGTAAACGTATCATTGATCGCTATTCACAAATATATTCCAGATACGTATAGTGAACAAGTTTAACGTTCGCAATGTTAAATAATTTTGATATTTGATTTTTATCGTGATGATTTTTTGTAAAAGTGAAGAATTTAGTGAGGAAAGTATTAATGATGGATATGAACGTGTGCGGATTCGTGATTGGTCACGATTACTTAGGTGCCCATAATATGAGTAGCGGTATTTTTTTTTCGTTTCATCATAACGGATTTTGTTGTGCTGAAAATAAGCAGCAAAATATATTATCGATTGCAACAACTATACCTAGTTTACATTCAGTATGTCCAATTAATATAGAACATTATAACTATGCATACTTTTATAAATTTGCTACCAATATATTTTGATAGTTGAGTTTTTGAAATTATTTGTTAGCTTCTTAAACAAAACAGACCCATTATAATTCAAATCTTTATCATTCAATACTTCCAAGAATTATAAAGTAATCTCAAGTCAAAATTTTTTAAAATTATTGCATGCCTTATGTATTTGCAAAGTTAACAAAAATATTTCTTTGCATACCTTGCAATTAATATATTTAATCCAATTTATCAGTTCTGCATCATATCCGAAATTTAGATTGTGTGTGACACAACGAAGAGTTAAAGTGCAACGTGAACGACCAGAAAAATATCAAGTAAAAAAAATTGTTAAGTTTTAATTACTAGTTACGCAGTCCTTCCCCCCATATTGGCTTCCCTCTTGCCAAAAATCTATATTGTCTTTCCTAACATTTTAAATATAAATGATTGAAACTTATTGTTAAATGAATAAAATTTATTTGAAGGAATGCTACTGTATTACAATAATTGTAAAACACGTATGTAATAATATCTCGGAATAATATAATAATTATTTAAAACTCCTCATAGCATTATAATATGGGCTTTCTTTATCCGCCGACCCAGACAAACATCCATATCCATAAAATAGTTGGCCCACACACACACACACTGATAAATTAATAAGACCTCATTTCGGCCCTCAAACGTCCTTCGATGATCAACGCCGGCTAAACTATCGACTTACGTGTTGACAAGTTGATTAGGCAGGTTATTGAACTCGTGTGGCATCGAGCTTGCCGTTTTTTCAAAGATGGGTCCCATATAAACGCATCCAGAAGTATTTTAAATACTAAAAATATTAAAAATTAAATTTATTAGTAGGTCATGATTGATAATAAAAGAAACTAAAGAATAATTAAAAGTATGCTGCTATCTGTCTCTTGTTTTATTTTGAGAGCTACTAATAAGTTCTTTATATATTAGGGAACCTGGTGCCGGTTCAAAAGTAAAATATATCAATTCCAAATAAAATTTTAATATTTGTATGACTATTTTAGTAAATACCATTTTGATTTTTTGTTATTTTATCACGGTCTATTTAAGAAAATTATATATTTTAAATATTGCAGTAAATAGTTAAAATAAATATAAAGTGATATGTATTTTTGAGAAGCTCATAGCAAGGCAGATCATATGATTTATAAATATACAGGGTGTTCTATTTGAAAAAACATAACTTTAGTTTAGATTTTCAAAAATATTTTTTTCGTAGAAAAACAGACTACGCCGCTGTATTTTACGTAAAAAGTTCTACACGAATCAGTTTTCACCTTCTCGATATCATCCACAATAACGGAGATACGGCGGGTGTCCCAGATTGCAAAATTTTTAAAAAGACCCTATAGCTCAGAAACAAAGAGGGCTATGAAAATTTTGTTGACAGCATCTTCCGTTTGACTAAAAAGTGGGGAATGTTTCTGGAAGCCACATCCTCCTATCTTTACTAATAACGGAGATTCCGTATGATTTCAACTAAAATGGGACACCCTGTACATCCAAATCATAAAAAAACTATATTGGAACCAAACCAAACCAAACCATTTGAAGTAACCAAAACTATCTTTGTCAAAAAAATATTCCAGCTTAAATGCAAAAACTGCAGAACAAATAATAAAATAAGGTTATGTTCTCATATTTGACAGAATATCAAATAAATTATGGAAACTTTTCAGACACAAAACGGGTACGAAATCTGTAAATGTGAGCCACATCTGTTTCTTAAAAGTTTCGACACTAAGATCTTTATTGTTATAGCTTATGTAGCAAAACTATATTTTGGTAAAATGTTTCGAAACAAAAAGCAATTTATGTTACGAAACATATGTATCAAAAATGTGACCAAACTATTTTGCAATGTTTCTCAGCAGAGATTTTGTTTCGATTTTGTGTCTAAAAATGCTACTTGAGATTGTCCCATGGCAAGAGTGTATTATCTCTTGACTGCTCATTCACGCAGCTTCGAGGCCAGATGAGTTCAAATATCTCGTGAGTAAGAGACTATTTGGACACTCGCCAAGTCGGTAGGCCATTGACAATGATATGAACGGGGAGTGCGGTTTGGATTCCGCGTAAACAAAGTAAGCCTCCTCCAGATTAGCCTCAGCATATTATTGACATGAAATAAAGAAAAAAAATTATATCGGAAAAAATACCGAAAGTTGTTTTTCTCTTAATACTACAATTATTTGTATATAAAAAATCATAAAATTCCATTCCAAAAGGTTATCAAACAAACCACTTAAAACAGTTTATTTCCCCCAATTTTTTTCTAAACTACTTTCGCCGTAATCAAATAAAATTTCTTGTTAAACTTCTGTTTACAAAAAATCGGGCGCATGTCACGGGTCCTAATCGCTGCGCTCTCGCAAAGCTCAACAAACTTTAAGTTCGCCAACAGCGTTGGCGCTTACAGGCAGTCGAAGCGTCGCGACGCCTAGGGAAGGACGTACTCAGCGCCGGTTAGCGTCGGTTCACGTGACAGTTACGTAAATAAATTCATAACTCTTCGCGCTATGATTCGCACTTCTTTGTAAATCATTTTTTTAACCTAGTATTTCCAATATGCGTTTTAGATAATGAGTATAGCTTGAAATTTAGACTATTAGAACTTATATTTGTAGTGAACTATTTTTATAAACTAATCTGAGTGCCTGTATAGAGTTGAACTAGGTAAATAGTGAGTTTTGTGCAAAGATGAAGGTCATTTTGCTGGTTCTTGTTTGGGGTAAGTTCTTTTTTATTTAAATAATAGAATATAGTTGTGATTTTTTTATTTTGTTAGGATTTAGGTTCGGGAAAACTCTGATTAAGTTTTTATTTGGTTTTTCATATCTTTATTTCATTTTTAAAGGAAAAACAAACGTTTCGGCCAACATTACAGCCTTCATCAGTGTAGTGTCTATAACAAAATACCAATTTCAAATTAACTTATCACAAAAATCTATGTTAATGTTTTTTTTGGAGAAACAACATTTATACAAATCACGAATACATAGTTAAAATTAAAAGTCAAGTAGTTTATATATAAAAAACCCTAAGAAGCTTAGTGTGACAAAGTTTATGTTATAAAAACAATAATTATTTACAAAACATTTTTTTTTCATACTTATTTACCCGCTATTGAAAGTTAAAAACAAAATCTTACAACACTTCAAAAAAACAGTGTCGAACATAATCCAAAAATTACATACAAAATATTCACAAACACACACAACTAACAAACTAAACAAAAGATGACCACATATTTTTTTAAAATTATTATTCGTAACACTAAAACTATCTATGTATATTGACTACGGCTGAAATCGTACTAAACCTAATTTATATTTCGTTGGTCGATAAAATGTAAAAAACTGTTCTTTTTATGGTTTTCAAAATATTACTTCTTATATATACATTATTTTTTTTAACAGTGGAAAACAATTAACAAATTAGTTTAACAGACTAAAACACACTTGAAACACTGACAATGTCTTGTCTTTAAAGACAATGTCCGCTTGAAAATTTGAATTCACACAAATCAAGGAACTTTTTTTTGTAACATTTTTTTCAAACAGTGAAGGAGCTTAACCATTACACTCAATTCCTTTCATAATATAATTTTGTTCTATTATATGTCCTATCGTTGGTAAAGGAAGGAACTAAATAATTTATGAACTAAGAAATTTAAACATCACTATTGTAAATTCTTTGTATTTCATATCTATCGTTGGTAAATAGAAAACGAAATAATTTATGACCTAAGAAATTTAAACTAACTGTCTTTTGTTTAATACTACTAATGATAAGAATCATTAGGAATATACCTATATATCATTCAAAAATAAAATTGCAGGTATCCAGTACCTTAATACCTAAATTATAAGCATTGCTTAAAATCCATGATTCCATCTCTGATTTAAAATTTGGTAAAAATATAACTAAGTATTTCTGAAATAAATCCTAAAAACTACATAAATTAAAAATTGTGTCTTGTTGTTAGAGTAATACTCGTCAATACCCTATAATCTAATTCTTAAAAAAAATGGCATGTAAAAAATTATTTCATGTTTATAAATATTTTGCTAGTATTAAATTGTTTATTATCTATTACTAATTTGTATTTACTAATTACTGATATAAGAAACTCCAATCACAATATCATCATACCTATTTATTTTTTGTGAAATGTCACTGTTTAGAATTTATGGTCTTTCTAAGTCTTTGGGGAAAAAATCCTGGTATCGCCCAAAAAAAATCTTCTGATTTTAATTATGATTTTAACAGAATGTCAACGGTTTTTATAGACGTATCTGTTTTAAAAAACTAAAGTGTTCGTGAATAGTTGCATTTAGTTATTTTAAATAGTTTTTTTTTGTTCTTCGTGTTTTTTTGACATACTTCCCGAAACGTTAAGCTTTTTTTTGTCGGTTAGGAAAATTTGTTTATTAGCAAACCACTGTTGACAATTAGACTCCTTTGGATTGACGCAGCAGTGTTTACAAAATATAACTATTTTATTTTGTAGACTTTCTTACAGTGGCGAAATGCCCATAGGACATTTTTGGAGAGATGAATCAGCCACACATGCATAGACATTTTTTATAACTCATTTTTCTCGTACACATTTTTTTAACCACTAAAACTAAAATAGACTTAAAATAAAAAAGTGTCCATAAAAGAATTGAAGAATAATAGAATAAATATAATTATAAATAAATAAAATATTCGTCTCTTTATTTACAATATAAAAAGAACCTAAAAATAGTCTAAACTAAAAAAATAAGTCTAATTCTAGTCAGGAAAATTTCGATAAAAATAGAAACTGTACTAAGATTACCAACAAACAAAAAGTGTATTAATATTATTGAGTAAATATGTATAATTCTGTTTTGAGTAATAATGATCCCCATGGACTGTAATTATCTTCATTAAAGCATCAATTTTGTATACATTATTCCGAATTATCAAAAATAAAGTTATATTATATTTTACCAAGATATAAAAATAGTAATAAAAATATCTCGGAGAAAATAATTTGAACAATACACTAAAAGTATTGAAATTTTTCTTTTATTTTTTATACCCATCACAAAACAGTACCGTTAGAACAAAACACATTATACCGTAATGAAATATTAAATACATTTCTCTAACTAATAACAGACCCTACAAAATCTATTACTAATCTACATATATACATTCTGCCCCCGTTATATTCCAGAAACAATAATCATTAGTATGTGTCATTGGGACATACCGCTATTTACTATTTATAAATCAATTCCGTGGTGTTTTCAAGCATTCAGAGACAACGAATACGGCTATCATTAATAATACAACGGTCATTACAGAACCACAAACTATTAGTTTAAAACAATATAATATTACTTTATTTCTTCGATGTTTGTTATTATATCAAAGTGGTGAAATTGAATTAAAAATGTATAAAACTTAAGGGAAATAACTTATATATTTTTTTAAATCATTATTAATTAGTATCTTTTATACGTAATTTATTATTTTATATAATATCAGGGTTTGTAATATTATTATTATATTCTATATACCGGGTGATGGTATCGTTGTAGAATTGTAGAATGTTTAGAAGTGGACTTAATCACAGCGACCATACAGATATATTGCGTGTTCCACTTTCTTGAGTTATAACGAGTTATAACTCATCATACAGTCTAAGGACTTTGACAAAAAACAGTATCTAAGACGGATTTTCATAGACCAGCTCTCCATCTTCGACATCAGCTGTACCAAAGTTTATGGCAACGGTTGTCGTCCCGGCGCACTCAGTGATAAGGTGTTCTGGTGTTTCCCTATTTTTCCCACAGAATCTCCATTCACCGTTGTTTCTCAGCTTCAATCTTCTATGCTCGTAACAATCCGGAAGATTATTTTTACTTAAATCAAGGAAAATCTTTAATTTTTCTCGGTTATAAGTTTTGATGGACTTCTTTGAGTGTCTTAGACCGTTGAAGGTCTAGGTTCCTTCCTGAAGGTCCAGGAGTCTTCCAGGTTCTTCAGTTCGTGTTCGTTAGTGGAGTGTTCCCTCCTTTACTAGCTAGATCGTTTGCTTTTTCATTGCCTTCTATCTTTTTGCGAGCGAACACCAAGAATAGGAGGACTTTTTTTTTTGGTTTAGATTGATATAATCACAACGTTTTACCCAACGTTAAGCATTTTCAGATACATATTTATTCTAAAAAAATACAAAAAATCTATATTATGTATACAAGACAGTATGGAACAAAACAAATGCAGAAAACGTTAAACGGTAATTCCATGGTAAAAATAAATGGTACTTTATTATATAGGATGTCTCATTATTAAATAGAGTTACTGCGTATTTTTGTGTATGGAAACAAGTTAATTGGCATCAATTTATCTTTATATAAAAGGTCTTTCTATCTACGCCCTTTCTATCTACGCCCTGCATAAAATTTTAATAAACTAATTATGTTTTCTAAGATATTCTAAAAAGTGGTACTTTGATTTGACTGAGATTTGGGGTGCTAGGCGCTTTAACATTTGACTTTCACAAAAATCCAAGAAGAGTACAGATATTCTGGTTGTCCTGAAAAACACGCAAAGAAAAAAATAATGAACTCAATTTGTTATAATTGGAAATGGGTGGTGAATTTTCGATCATATTGTATTTTTGTTGGGCTCTTTTATAATATTCTATCAAATGTGGTATTCTATACACTATAGAGCTTTTAATGTAGGTCCAATAGAAGCTTGTCTTGTTTAATTTACATCTAGTAGGAAGACAATTGCATATGTTATTTACAAGAAAAATGGAAAAACATCGCTTTATCACAGCGTGTGATTTCTGACTTTACCAAAGCAAACTGAAACGCTTCGTGTATGATAATATGCAGCGATCTTTTACACTTGAATCTGCCTTATTTCTTTGATAATTTGCTCAATTATCTTGTGCCACTTGTGAATGTGATTTTAAATGCCTTGTCTCTTTGCACTAAAATTTGAAACAGAATTCGCATGCGATATTTTAGTTTTGCTAATGTAAAGTCTAAGTAAATGTAGGATTTCCTATATCTGGTTAGGATGAAATTTTTTAACATGTTTCCGAAGCACTTATTTTTTGCTTTCTTTAGTATTCTGATTACTATTAATATAAGTATACCTAATAACTAATCTGTGCTATTAAGAACGTTCTACAAAATAATCCAAATAACAATCAAACTTTGAAATAAAATAAACCGTAAAAATAAACGCCTTTAGTTTATCTAATAATTGAAAATCATGAAATTATGGACAACAGACGGCAACATTGTTGGGTGGCCGAGTAGACTAGTAAGACGTAGACCCTAGTATTTTAATAAATAAATAAATGCCTTTATTGTCAAAACATTTTACAATTTGTAGACAAAACTAACCTAAACAAATAAATAAACAAAAGAGAATACAAAACACTATACAAATTACATTGTCAGTCTTATTGTTTATAATGTCAAAGAATAAAGAAATAAAAATAATATTCAAAAATATTTAGTAAGTTTATAGTAAATATCAATGACCTCTAAATAAATTCATTTTGATGTCATTGGTAAATATAATAATAGCAAACATTAGACCAGTGTTTACAAGATCAAATTCGTTTATCAAAATATAAGTCATTTACGGCGTAGAAAGCCTTGTTTAGTAAATAAGATTTCAATGCTTTGCGAAATGAAGAAAATGATGTTATGGATTTGATTTCAAATGGCA